GGGATGGAAGAGTGGTGGGGGGAAGCCGCACATACTCACCAAGCGTGTTTGTTTGTTCAGTGTCACAGATGCATGGCATCATGAAGTGCTGACTCCAGACTTGACAACACAAACTGTGGCACTCCCGAAGCCCGAGATTTTATTGATTCCCAAAGTGTGGGTTCCGCGCCACCGACCAGCGTTCTTTTGGAAGTAACTTTGTATCATTCTTGATTTATTTTTCTTCTTTGGCTGGGAGCGCGGAGGTGACTGTCAGCCATGACTTATTTGCATTGCTATGTTCTATACCGGAATATATTTGTTTTTCAGAACTCTCGAAATTTCTAATCTTGTTCAGAAATCCCCCTTCATCGTTCCCTAGATTTTGTGCTGGGCCCGATCTATTTGGTTAGAACAGTGTCCAGAATGTCCACCACAGTCCTGGATGGCTGGGAGGAGCCGACAGGGAGGGGCACGGATGCCTGGGCTGGTAGCTTAGTCTTTTTCATTGATGAATGAGTTTTGACCTGGAAACATTCTTTTGCTGCTTCCTTCATGTTGGCGTAAGAAAGAGATGTATGGGGATGTGAGTAACTTGTAGTGGCATCAAACTGTGCTTCTGGTTTTTCGCATGGCGTGCAGCTCATGGCTTCTGAGGACTGTGCTGGGGCATTGGATGTAATTGATGACTTGAAGCGGTTGCTGGTGAGTAAATGAATGTGTGTGTGTGCAGACTTGCATCTTTCTCTCTAGGCCTCTCTCTTGTTTCCTTTGAGATGTGGGACGTCAGTGCTAAGTCATGTTTGTGGCATTGCTTCCCAGTGTTTCACACTCCCATGTATTTCATTTAGCGAGGAATTGATTCTCTTTCGAGTCTCAGCTCGGTGGAGTGGATGCTTTGAATCTCTGTTGAATGGAATGACCGTGTATCGGTGCATAGAGTTGACTCAGTTGAGTCAAAAAAGTTAAGCCATTTGGATGAAGGTTAAGTTGCGGTAACATTTTTTTTTGTCGTGGATAGAGTTTAGTTGCAGTCGGGTCTACATGATTTCTTTCTTTGTTGAACAGAGTTAGCTGGGCCTTGTTTCGATAGCAATGGAGTACCATTTGAACAGCATGGAGTATCTGTGCCGTTTTGTCTCAAGTGTCATTCTTTTCGGCTTCGACATGCCCCCATGTACCAGTGTATAAGTGATGGCTGTGGTGTGTGTGTGTGTGTGTGTGTGTGTGTGTGTGTGTGTTTGTGTGTGTGTGTGTG